TTGCAACGAGTCGTGAAAACCAGTAATATGGTTTGTTTGAAAAACCCATTAAAATACTTGTACAAAAATTAAAATTAATTATTACCCCCAAAAGTGAAAATAACTTACACTGGCGCCGAGACTGCAATCAAGCAATAGATTGATTACAATCTTCAGTACCAGTGTACTGCATGTCATCACTGCATTGTCAACGTGATTCATCAAACTTGTTGAAAAGTTAATTAATACATTTTAATTAATTAGCCTAATGATCTACATTTCCTTTTTTCAGGGTTTTGAATTAGGAGATGGGGGCTATTCCAAGAGACAATTCAAATAATGTATTAAGTATAAGTAATATTTGCTCCACCTCTTCGTGTTTTTCCGACAAATGATGGGTCACCGGCAAAGTCGGATTGAAAAATTAGACTGTCATATATACAGCTAGGGCGAACATAGCGTTTGTAGATCTGCGCTGTTGCTGCTGTGTGGGGAAGTGTTCGGCTTCTGTTGTGTGTGTTCAGAGTTGTATGTATCTATACATAGATTTACACATATATCTATACATTGATACACATACACCATGTACCGTTTACAAGTCAGGGGAACTTGAAGTAAAAAAAACTTTTTTTGGGGGTTTGCTGGCTAAAGAGAGCCATATGAAGGCCATAGAAAAGTCTTTATTCAACCATTAGAAAAGCTAAAGAACGCTATGGCTGGACAGCGATAGGGCCATAGAAAAAGCTAAAGAAAAGTAGAAAAACACATACTGCAACATTATCGTCCCCAAGACTGGCTCGCCCGTGAAGAGCCACCCTGGTCCGAGTACTTTTTACCCATATAGCTGGGATTGGCTGACCCGGAAGTAGCCACCCTGGCCTGGGCTGTATTTATCCCGTATAGCCAGGATTGGCTGCCCGGAAACAGCCACCCTGGCCCAGGCTTTATTTGCAGGATGGAGCCCAGATTGGCTAGACGGGGAATTGCAGCTTACTGCCAATCTGAGCGTGCCAGGTTGGCTCTAGCTGAAGCCTTGGTGCAAAACAAGCATGGCCCAAGGAAAATTTCCTTGGCTGCCCAACCTGGCGCGAGCTAGAGCCAGGGCATTGTGCTACTTGGGACGTTCCCGCATCATAACAGCCTGCCATTGTTCATTCTGGGGCATCATAAAAGCGAAAGCCTATACGTTGGTCACCGGTCGCATCGGATCACTACTAGCCTGAAGATCCGCGTTGAGGCGGCCTTCCCGTTGATTTCACACCAAATTCACGCAGCAGCATTACCGGCTGCAAACTTGCAAGCTGCAAAGGTGCATCGACGTCCCGGTCCATTAAACTTGGTTAATTAACAATGGTCTTTCTCTGTCTCTCCGGGGAGCCACGTTGAACTCCGTTAAATGTACTACGCCCAGTGAAAAATCTCATTTGTATGAGAAATGCCTTTGTCCAATAATCGCAGATCATGAAATAAGATCATAGAGGAACATAAGGTTATTAAGAGGTCTCATAAGATCGTATTTGAGCACGCGTGTTTATTGGAGCAAAAGAGTTTTATTCATACAAGATTTTTTTAGGGACTCCAGCTTTGTTCAGCGTCCTCTGCAATCTCTGCAAGCCCCTTGTCGTTTTTGTTAAGAAACCGATTTATGAGATCCTTTCAAACGGCCAAACGTTGATATGAGTCACGTTGGATGTTGGTTTCTATGAACGTTGTGATTGACTAGTTTTCTACGGTGTGCAATGACGACTAAAAGAAACCTCGCGATCCCACTCGATCAAGTTTATTTACTTGAACAGCTACATTTAATGCAAAAGGCTCTAATTATATAAGCGAATTCGAAACTAAACAGTACACAGAGAGCTGGTCAGAAATTGAGTCCGCCGAAACCAGTGGCCAGGATGGTCTAATCGGTTAAGGCATCGCCCCGGTCAGGCGAAGGTTGCGGGTTCAATCCCCGCTCCTGGCCCAATTTTTCGCCAGCTCTCTTTCCCTTTCCCTTTCCCTAACTTTAATGCAATAAATTCAATAATCACCTTCCCCCCTCTTCGTTCTCAATATTACTACGGCTACATTGTCAATCGTCACTCAATCCCATTATATATACGGTGCAGCCTGTCCCTATGGGGAGGAGTGGTTCCCTAGATATCCTGGAAGACGGGCCCTTTCCGACATTTGCAAGCTGAGATGACGTGCCACGTCACTGCCGCATGTCGGAAATAGCGCGGGCCTTAAATCAGCAACGGTTGTCGTCTACCCAGTTAAGCGAATTCGAAACTAAACAGTACACAGAGAGCTGGTCAGAAATTGAGTCCGCCGAAACCAGTGGCCAGGATGGTCTAATCGGTTAAGGCATCGCCCCGGTCAGGCGAAGGTTGCGGGTTCAATCCCGGCTCCTGGCCCAATTTTTCGCCAGCTCTCTTTCCCTTTCCCTTTCCCTAACTTTAATGCAATAAATTCAATAATCACCTTCCCCCCTCTTCGTTCTCAATATTACTACGGCTACATTGTCAATCGTCACTCAATCCCATTATATATACGGTGCAGCCTGTCCCTATGGGGAGGAGTGGTTCCCTAGATATCCTGGAAGACGGGCCCTTTCCGACATTTGCAAGCTGAGATGACGTGCCACGTCACTGCCGCATGTCGGAAATAGCGCGGGCCTTAAATCAGCAACGGTTGTCGTCTACCCAGTTAAGCGAATTCGAAACTAAACAGTACACAGAGAGCTGGTCAGAAATTGAGTCCGCCGAAACCAGTGGCCAGGATGGTCTAATCGGTTAAGGCATCGCCCCGGTCAGGCGAAGGTTGCGGGTTCAATCCCCGCTCCTGGCCCAATTTTTCGCCAGCTCTCTTTCCCTTTCCCTTTCCCTAACTTTAATGCAATAAATTCAATAATCACCTTCCCCCCTCTTCGTTCTCAATATTACTACGGCTACATTGTCAATCGTCACTCAATCCCATTATATATACGGTGCAGCCTGTCCCTATGGGGAGGAGTGGTTCCCTAGATATCCTGGAAGACGGGCCCTTTCCGACATTTGCAAGCTGAGATGACGTGCCACGTCACTGCCGCATGTCGGAAATAGCGCGGGCCTTAAATCAGCAACGGTTGTCGTCTACCCAGTTAAGCGAATTCGAAACTAAACAGTACACAGAGAGCTGGTCAGAAATTGAGTCCGCCAAAACCAGTGGCCAGGATGGTCTAATCGGTTAAGGCGTCGCCCCGGTCAGGCGAAGGTTGCGGGTTCAATGCCCGCTCCTGGCCCAATTTTTCGCCAGCTCTCTTTCCCTTTCCCTTTCCCTAACTTTAATGCAATAAATTCAATAATCACCTTCCCCCCTCTTCGTTCTCAATATTACTACGGCTGCACTTGTCAATCGTCACTCAATCCCATTATATATATATATATATATATATATAAAACTGAGAAGAAAAAAACCCTTAGTGAAAAACAGCAACAACGGACGATTTAATCTTCGACGTTTCGGCCGGAGTCCGGCCTTCGTCAGGAAGACATCCTGACGAAGGCCGGACTCCCCTTTTTTCACTAAGGGTTTTTTTTTTCTTCTCAGTTTTATACCCACGCCTTCGGCCTCCCGCCACCATGCCCGTTATATATATATATATATATATATATATATATATATATATATATATGTATATATATATACCAAGCTTGTCGGGGTCGGTCCTCAGAATTATCTGTAAAAAATATATGTGAAATCCCAATCCCTGCGATGAACAAAACTGCCTTTCAAAAAAATTAGAAATATGTAGTTCGAGAGAAAACAATTATGGAACGCTGCCGGGTGAAATGCGTGGAAATCGCGATTCCATTTCTGCTCAAGTTTAGACGGTCTTTCCAAAATATTGAGTCATCACTTACTCCTAATACTTTTTATACTATAAGTATGCAATGTGTGCTATTTTTAAAGGTAAATTATAGTTTTTTATCATTTTCAGTTATTTTTACATAAAATCGCAAACATGCCACCCAGAGCAATTTCGACTAACATTGGGATAGCTATATCAAACGAACGGTATGGACATATATCAATACGTAGCTATTTAAATAACCTATCGATTGGTATGTGTTTCTTGTTTATCGATTTTATTGAACACTATTGATTTCACCCCAAATGTGCACACAAATTGAAAATATACAAATTTCGAAATAAATTTTTTCAAAAAGGCCATTTTTTATTTTCTTCTAACTTCAATAATTCATAGCCCATAAGGTGTAGAAATAGTGTATATAAGTCTTGGGTGTAATATTTTTGTTGTATTTTGGTGACAACCAGTTAAATAAGCCAATTTTAAGCCTCACTCAATCGTTGGTTCAACTATTCTGGCTTCACCACAATGGTACTGGCGGCCTCAATAATAACAATCGGTTTTAGAAGCCAGTTCATCATGATCAGTTTGCCATTATATATGCTCATGGCGACTCCTGGAACACCTGACATACGTTACGGAGGGCAAAACTAACCATTCACGTTAACAGTAATGCCACCTTCAGTCTATTTGTGAGACGAGCCGACATGTCCAAAGCTCTGGCAGGTGAACGTTCTCATCTTAAAAATTGGTCACGCACAGTGTGACATAAATAAGTGTAATTTAAATATAAACACCAAACAATCACTCATGAAGCAGCTCAGTACCTATCTCCTGTGATCATGGAAATTGTTTTCCACTGATGAACGCATGGACATTTTTTTTTTTGCACAAACTTTAACTGTTTGAGCTATGTAGATAGTTTTATTTTGCTTATAAGCTTACACACGTAATACAAAGTTTAGCTGACAAAATGAAAAACAAAAACGCTGGTATCACGACACAAAAAGGCACTCGATTTAACTACTAATGTATTCACGTTAATAAAATACACATATATAGACATGGATCATGGTGCCCAACACTCCCCCGTCTATACAGAGGCTTTTACGAAACGTCTGGAATTTGCTTACATAGTTAACAAAGCCACACATTTTGAAACAACATGTAGGCACTAAAATACCGATTATGCAGTTCGCTGAAGACGCACTTCACCTTTTTCAAGTCGCCACACGTGTGAGAGGCGGATGCCTTTTTGAACCGGTATGGATCCCCATTCGGCTCTCTTGGTTTTGCGGAAATCACTCGCGTCGTCTTTCTTTAAATTTAGGAGGGTCACATTTTTTACACACTTTCCCACCTTGTGCACAAAGTCCGTTGATTTCTGTATGGCCTCATCCACAGGCGAACGGAGGTTGTGCACCGTCGCCTGATGCTTCAGTAGCCCCCCTACTCCATCACAGGCGCTCTTGCCGTGTCCTGAGGCAGAAATAACCCACTTCACCTTCGGAAGACCGGCTCGTTGGAACTCGTAAAGCTGAAATCTATTCTTAAAGTGAGCTGGTGCACCGTCAGATTTATACGTTAATGACGTATAAACTGGAATGTTGTTCTCCAGCCAGTCCTCAATGCACCTTAGAGCGAGTACCGCGTGGGCAGTGTCATGGCACAGGTCTTCACACACGACACCGAAACATTTGGGACCTTGCGATGTCGACGCAACACATGTGAACACGGAGATTTGACGCTTGTGCCAGTGATGCTCTTGTATTTCGTGTGGCAGGGTCGCCGTCCAGTTTTCCGCAAAATCAAAGTTCATGACAATATGCCTTGTGGTCACCTTGCTCTTCTCAATCCAAACAGCTTCCCGTTGACTTCTACGAATGAAGTCGTGAGTAGAAAACCTTGTGGCCCATTTTTGCATCTCTTTCAAAAAGGCGTTCGAGTCCGCAGTCTTATTCACCAAATTGCCGTTCTCCCACGTGCACAATCTACTTTCCTCATCTGGAACCAATTGTAATTCTTGTAAGGAGAGTCGATCACTGCTAGGGCATTTCTTGCATTCGCCCCGTAAACAATTGGGCGTTGAGTCTGGGCAAAGGCACAGAGCGACAATATCCTCAGCCGTTATTTTTTCTTCCCGCACGCTGTTGAGGGCAGATAAGCACAAATCAAAACTTGTGCAGCACACGCATGCCCATACGGTTTGGTCAGGGTTCAGCTTAACCCATTTTGGTCGCAGCGAATAAAATTTGGTCAATCCTAATTTGGAGTCCGGGTCAGCTTTCTTAAACAGCTTGTAGGCTTCTCTTGTGGACCTGGTCATGTAGCGCTTGACAACGGCTTGTTGTTCCCCATCCTTCATAATGTTTACAACGTCCTTTTTGTTGGGGCTCTGCCGGGAACATTCGAAATCATCGTCGGTGTAAAACCGCGTGGCTGGCTGCACGATGTCCTCGCCTATCTTAGCGCCCTGGTATGGCTCGAGACGATCCCATACGCCAAAACGTTCACGAAGTCGCTTGGCCTTTTTTAGTATGTAGCTCGATGCCTCCGGGATTAAACGTGCGATTTCGTTAACAGTTACACTTGCAGGCACAAGCGTGAGCAGCTGGCATCTCTCCTGGTAGGACGATGTCTTGACAAAGGCTTCTCTGAGGTTTGCTCACCACTCGTCACAGTTAAGGCAGGAGGATTCAGTCCCAGAGTTTGACTCACTCGTTTCCAGGCTATATGCTGTAGCCAACTTTTTACGTACTTGTCTGCTGTACGACACTTCCATTTCCCGCTGTTTTCTTGCCGCATAGGAGTGACGGCTCTTCGGATTTACGACAGACGGCATCCGCAAGAGAGTTGTCTCAAGCCCTTTAGCAGATATTTCTTCGTTAATGTCACCTACTACTTCATGTTCTTCAATGAAGCTTGCCGGAAAGCTTGAAGATGGGTCACTCACCGTACAGGCTGAAAGTTGCTCACCAGTACGTCGAAAACAGTTCTGGCAGAGCATATCCGTCGACAGAACAGTAGCAGCTTTGGTTGGAGACAGGATTCTTTTCAATGCTTCTACGTTGAGGTCGGTTACGGGTCGAAAATATTGGTTGCGGTACATATCACCCGCTTATGTCTCTCAAAGTAGTCGGCACAGGACTTCCTTTTGACGCTGTAAACTGCGGCCCTGACTGAAACGTGGACGTGAGAAATACGAGTGGCCACCTAATTCTAAGTTCAAACCCGTGTGTTATTCCTTGCCGCGATCTTTTGCTTGTTTATTATTTCTCTCTTCCTGCTTTTATCTTCTTATTGTTTTGGTATCGACGACTGTGTGAATATAATCGCTGAAAACCATCACCGAGAAAGAGCGCGCTGTATGTCTTTTCATTTAAAGGGGAGGGAAGTAATAAATAGCGAAAAACGACGATAATAAAATCGCGGGATAAATGAGGACTGCAAACTTTAGGAAACACCTACAAAATCAAATAGACGAACTTAAAACAGGTAGACGCCGACAGAGAGTTCCTCTTTGGTATGGTGCTTGCGTGCCCGAGACTGGTCTTGCCGGCAACCGCCAAAAATCACAGTGATCATAACTAAGATGCGTTGCGACCCCTGCGTAAACAAAGTTCCGCGCGTTCAGGAGATCGGCACGATAAAGTCAAAACTCTACTCTGTTCGTTTCCTCCTCTAGATAACCTTGACTAGACGGAGACAGACAAGTTTGCGCAGTGAGGTCCTTTGGTCAGAGAAGGATAGTTGGGGACAGCGAACCGATCCGCTAAACAGCCTCGGTCGGAAGCACGAGGTCAGCAAAGCTTATCGTAGGTCAACGAGGTCAACTAAGCTTATCAATGATTGTCTCAGATGTATCGTCTGAGACAATCATTGCTCTCCCTCGCTCTGATCAAAAGGGACCGGCGTTTGAGTCAGTTCGATGAAGAACAGAGTGCTACTTACATTAGCACCCCGTTTGATGCAAGAAAAAAAACAGTTTGTTTTATTATTTTTATTTTGAAGAGGAGTCGTCTTCAAGTTCTACGTGGCTGTCAGAAATATTTTGTTCGTGATTTGTTAAACTACGTAAACAAATTACAACCAGATGTCCAACTCTCTTGGTGAAACGCCGGCTGCCGCTTTCGGGAGCTCTACGTTCTTAATTCCTACCAATTTCGCTCCTGTTCGTGTTTCAAAATAAAGGAAATGGCAAGAAGCTTCCTTTAGCCGTGAAATTTGAAGGCAAAATTACAAAGCAATAATAACATTTTAATCACTGTTCTTTCTATAGCTATAACGGTTTTCGCAATAATAGTAAGGGGTTTCATTTCTCTCAGAAACCGGGCTATCGTATGTAACATATAGATTGCATATTCAAGTTCACTTAACCGCACTCTGCTTCAGCGATTTAATCGGTAAGAACACTCGCCCGCCAAATCTCAAAATATAATGTCTAGCTTGTCCCGCTCTCAGACTGCAGGTGGCATTACTGTTAACATGAATGGTTAATTTTGCCCTCCGTAACGTGCGTCAGATGTTCCAGGAGTCGTCATGAGCATATATAATGGCAAACTGATCATGATGAACTGGCTTCCAAAACCGATTGTTATTATTGAGGCCGCCAGTACCATTGTGGTGAAGCCAGAATAGTTGAACCAACGATTGAGTGACAGGCTTAAAATTGGCTTATTTAACTAGTTGTCACCAAAATACAACTAAAATATTACACCCAAGACTTATATACACTATTTCTACACCTTATGGGCTATGAAGTAAAGAAGTTAGAAGAAAATAAAAAATGGCCTTTTTGAAAAAATTTAGTTCGAAATTTGTGTATTTTCAATTTTTGTGCACATTTGGGGTGAAATCAATAGTGTTCAATAAAGTCGATAAACAAGAAACACATACCAATCGATAGGTTATTTAAATAGCTACGTATTGATATATGTCTCATGACATAGCTCCATACCGTTCGTTTGATATAGCTATCCCAATGTTAGTCGAAATTGCTCTGGGTGGCATGTTTGCGATTTTATGTAAACATAACTAAAAATTGTAAAAAACTATAATTTACCTCTAAAAATAGCACACATCGCATACTTATAGTATAAAAAGTATTAGGAGTAAGTGATGACTCAATATTTTGTAAAGACTGTCGAAACTTGAGCAGAAATGGAATCGCGATTTCCACGCATTTCACCCGGCAGCGTTCCATATTTGTTTTCTCTCGAACTACATATTTCTAATTTTTTTGAAAGGCAGTTTTGTTCATCGCAGGGATTGGGATTTCACATATATTTTTTACAGATAATTCTGAGGACCTTCCCCGCAAAGCTTGGTCGAATTCAAATGAAACCACCCATATATATATATATATATATATATATATATATATATATATATATATATATATATATATATATATATATATATATATATATATATATTCAAACATTGTAGCAGATATCATTAATTAAAGCTAACTCTGGCGTATTTCATATATTGTTTTTGAATATTTTGAATGTTCAGGGATGACACAACGTTCCCTACCGGTGGCCATGGGTGCGTTAAAGATTCTTTAAAAAATGTCTAAGATGACGCGTTAAATAATGAGCTCATCGCCTTCTTTTTTTTGGACAATGGTTGGGTTGCTTTGGCTCATGCTTGCTCTTTGGTGCGGCGCTCCTCCCGTAGGAGGCACCTACGTTGGTAGGTGTTTGGTGAGTGGCGTCACCATGCACCCCGAGTCATGCGGGTTCGCCTGCCCACGTCTGGCTGTGCGGGGCTTTCCTATGTCTGGGGGAACAGGCATCCTAGTGGTTGAGTCGAGCGCGGCAATGATTGGACCCTTCGGGGCCCCCGGGTGAGGTAATACACCACTTTGAACCCGCTTCTTATAGACGGGAGTCCTGGTAATGCCTGTCCTGGGTGATTCAGTCAGTCGTTTCTCCTCACCTCCTCTCTGACTTTTCTCTCTGTAGTAGACCCGAGTCGAGGGGAGTACTGAGGGTTTATTCCAATACAGCAGGTCAGAGGGACATGACCAGCTGCCAAGATTCCAGCTCGCCGAAGAACGGAATGCACGAGCTCCCGTGAACGAGCTCGTGCTCGGTTGACAAAGACGACGATGGTATTCTGCAGTGGCCAGATTTCTTTCCCTCTTTTAAGGGGTATTCACACGAGGGAGAAATCCCGGGGATTTCTCCATGGCACGCGCATCCCGCGACGAAAACGACGGGCTTTGCGATCTGCAAAAGCCTCGCGTTTTCGTCTCGTGATGCGCGCGTGCCGGGGAGAAATCCCCGGGATTTCTCCCTCGTGTGAATACCCCTTAAGAAGGCTTGTAACGGTCCGGCTTGAGGCGGCTGCGGGTCGGGTATCTCCTACTGGAGTCTGGCTGCAATGGAGACCCCGAAGTAACTTGTGTGTCGGTGACCTCCTGCTGGGTGTAAAAAAGGTTTTGTTGTGTACCTAGTCACGTTGGCATAGAAGGTAACGAGAACGCCGACAAGCTCGTGGAGTCTACAGATAACCTTTTCCTATCGCCTTCCTGTTTAACTTATCAGATATAAAGCATTTAGTGAAGTCATCGCTCTTTCGTTGTTGGAAATTAAAATGGGACATGGAGTGTCAAAAGGAACTCTATGATGGTAAGCCTGCTCTTGAGGCCCGGGGAAAGGCCTTCGTGCAAGAATCGTCTTCTTAAAACCTTGTTGAGCCGCCTGAGAAATGAGCACTCTTTTAGCACCCATAGGTACCTTCTTTGGGTGTGAAGATCCACCACTCTGTGATTAGTGAGGTGATACTTTTAATATTTTACATATGTTGTTGTCTTGTCCCGGTGTGGAGCCAGTGTCCCGTTCATTTTCCTCAGTTTTTTTTTCAACAACAGATCCCATTTAATTTCGCTCCACGGCTGGGGTTGCATCATGTAGTCCCTTTAGCTGTGTAATAGACTTTTGTTCCTAGCATTGGCATTTACACCAAATCTAACTTCTTCAAGTTGCAGGTCAATAGTTTGTGAAACCTTTTTTAAAGTGTATTGGTTGTTGAGTTTGGCGCAGGTGGAGTCGTATCTCTTGCGCCATTGACCCCACAAATAACTAACAGGTGTGGTGCTTATGCCGCTAACTTCTAGAATCTTGACCTTCCTGTTATCAGCCGTGCCTTTAGCGCCACCAAGACCACACTTCTTGCCCTTGCATTGGACATCAGATAACTTTCAAGAGCAACAGACGCCTAAGGGTGAAACAAACTGCTGTCAAGGGCCACCCCTTGGGCTGAAGCTAAGAAAAGTGTGCCACGGCAACACCGGCTCGAGCATGTCATGGACTTCCTCACTGTAGACAAACATCGTGAGGACCTAAAAATGCACGGTGAAGTGGGTGGACGCCCCGATGATACCTAGTTCAATGACTCAAAGAGCTCAGTATATACGCCTCGCAAAATCATCTAATGGTGAATTCAACTGGTAGATCTGGAGCGCTTTCCGAAATCCGCTAGAGAGGCCAACACCCGCTCTGTGGGACATGCTCCAAATCCACGAGCTGAAAATGAACTCGCATTTTTGGAATGGCCAGTCGAAGACGGTCTGTCGCTCCAGATGGCCTCCGCTTGGACTTGCCCGAGCTCGAACTTGACGAGCCGACTGAGATCTCCGACGATCTATCATTACGGTCGTCGTCCAGCGGCGGAACCAAAACATGACACAGGTCTGGCGCATTCGCGGAGTCTTTGTAAGAAATAGAGATGAAGATATCCGCGTTCGCCACCGTCTCATACCTTTCGGCCGCCTCGGAGTGGCAGGAAATGCTCAGCGATCGGGATCGCTGATGCGTAGGTATCTTGTAAGACTTTAATTGACAGAAACAGGTAGCAAACCATCACTTGCACGGTCGTTGCGTAACCTGTTACTTCATTTTACAAGAAAACGCCGGCGGCATGCAGGGACAACAATCGATAAAATTAGAGTAAAAACGCAGGCGAGCTGGCGCACATCCATAATGAGAAACCTTCAGACCAAGAAACAGAAGGGACAACACAGTCTCCTTTATTAGACGGTGTTGTCCTTGTCCCTTCTGTTCCTTGGTCTTAAGGTTTCTCATTATGGATGGACAACAATCAGTTGCAGCAAAGTGAGCCCACCTAAGCTTGCATCTGCTACCTTCTTCGGATTTTCTGTCGTTCTTTTTCTTGTTCTTAAAGGGACACTGACACCCCCCAAAATTTTTTTTTTTTAATTTTTTGTTAGGCGCTTTATTATGGTGTCGGAGGACTACCCAATTAATATTTTGCAATAGAGTATCGTATTTTTTTAATAAAGCCAAAAGACGCAACTGCTCGAAAACGAAAACGAAACCCGACGGAGGTAGGAGGAGTGGAGAGAAGAGAGTTAGTGGCGGAAGTCACGTGGCTACAACCGACCGTGTTTTTTTTTTTTTTCTTTCTTTTTTTTTTTTTCTTTTTTCCGTAGCAGACGACATGCTGCGTACGGGAACTGTTCGCCGTGGGATTCTTTTGCAGTTATGTATGTTCCGCTCGTTGTTCTGTACTCCAAGATGAGTTATTTTGTACATTGAGGAGTTAGAGATGATTAGTGAGTGCCCGTGGTGAATTTTGATCGGCTCCGAAAAGAATACACCCAAGATGTTGCGTGAAGAGCTGGCTCACATGTCCTGCGTCCGAAACAGAAGTGGCTTTGTGCGACAGAGTTTCCGAAAGATCAACGGGATCGGGACCAATGGCTGGCTGCAATTCCTGTAGACCATTTACGGGCACCTCGGAAAGCGGACGCTACCTGATTTATATGCTCCTTGCATTTTGTGGGAAGCGATTACATTGAGTTCGCTAGTGTCAAAAAGGAAATCCCATACCATTTGATTCAGCGACGTGTCGTCCACGACATTTGTTTCTTATTTTTTTTCAGTAATAATTGTAATAAAAAAAAAAAGAAACGTAAACATCAAAAAATATTTGAAAAAAAAAAAAAAAAAAAAGTTCTGCGGGGGGTTGAACCCGGTCCTACCGCTTGTTAGGCGGACGTCTTTCCCACTGAGCTACTGGGGCATATCGAAAACTGGGGGATCTCTTTCCTTAGTAATAATTTAGCCGATAAACTGTAAGTTGAAAAGTTTGCTGCCGATTTTCCTCTAGAAAAAGCACTCCCGGGTCGAAATCATGATGCAGCACGCATTGGCGACATTCTCACCTAGTAAAGAAATCGTACGCGTGCATATTCAACTCGAAATAGACACGTCGCGCTTGGCGTTTGCGCGAGCGATGTCTTCAGCCACGAGAAGGGAGCGACGGCTCGGCGACGTCTTCGTGCAAATCGGCTTGGTGGTCGGGCGTTTCGTACGGGATGAATACCAATTCTTTTGACCAGTCCCAAATTTATCTTTTAAAGGCAGACAAAATTCGCCGGTACCGCGAACGACAGTTCTGAAATAGAGGTCCCACGCCCGTCGTCCGCTGCCATCGCCGTCCCTGCGAGTCCCACGATACGCGAAACGACGCACGCACAAAATGCTTCCGGTTGTCTGTGGAACTTTTTTTTTTTTTCAATCAACGTATTTGCAGCTTTTTAGAAGCCACAAAAAATGGGTTTCATATTTTTTTTCTATTTTTAATATTGAGTGTGTGCCTTCAGTGACCCACGACTTTGATTAAATTTGGTGGTCGCATCGATACCTTAGAAAACGGCCCGTGACCGCGGAAAAGAGAGTGAGCGAGACTCGAACCAGCCAGTTCTTGATCGGCGGTTTTCGGGCGGAAAGAAACCGAATTTCGAGCCGCAAATTCTGTTCTGGGTAGTTGAGCTATCATATGTCACGTACAACTAAAGACCTCGGCGAGCATAAATACCCTGTCAGTGTCCCTTTAAGCTCAGGATCGATGTCACTGCTCACGATCTGCGAGGCTCCAGTTCAGTCTTTGCCCCGGGGGTTTCGCGTTCGAGCCTTCACAACCCCGTATAATCAACCGACGCGACCGAACGGATGCAACTGAAAAGTTAGAGCTAGGTCCGGCCACTACACCGTGCATGCGCACCCTCGAGTGAAAGGAACATGCCTAGCACGCTTCTGTCGATTTCCGCTAAGCTCTGCCGAATTCTATGCTGCAACTTCGGCGGAGTTCGACGCATTCCACGGGGCGGGCACTGCTAAAATTCGGCGAGCGGAAGATAAACTTAAGCCAGGACTGCGAGCATGAAGTCCGCACTCCAATCCTGCGACCTGGATTTACCATTAGCCTTCGTATCCGTGGCTGGCTGAAGAGCGGCGCAATAGACAACCGGGTGTCGTCGTACCTAGGAAAAAAAACACCGCTGCAACATACCTGATACCTTGTGGGGGCGAGCGGCCAGTCCCATGCCAGCTGCCTCAATGTTACTCTTGTATCAGGCATTCGGCCTTCGCACTGTTTCTCTCGGTCACAGCGAGGCCCCGTTTTGACAGGTTTCGGGGCGGACTCAAGGTTGTAAAAAACGAACAACATTTATTATCCGGGGGTAATTTCCTGGTCTTGAAAGTGCGCGCAGTCAGTAGAGTAATAGAGGCCCAAGGCCGCTTGTTCGGGCACCGACTTCAGGAGCAGCGCGTTCACGACTTGATCCTGCCTCATGCACAATGGAGTAGGCGAGCGGTTGTTGTTCGCCCCGACCAAAACATTGTCCTCCGGTCGTTCGGTGCCAGTCCTGGACGAGGCCGGAGCCCCGGGATAGCAGTTTATGTACATGCAGTGCCGGCGGTAGCAAGTCAAGTACTCTGAGCGCATTGCAGGTCCGCCTCCGTGACGTCACTCAGAGAGGCGTTGCGGTCCTTGAGTTCAGCGGGGCTTGAGCAGGCTGCGTGTCTCCAGATATCCGGGAACGACAGCAGAAACCGCAGTTGGCAGTCGCAATGCAGCGGATTACCTGCACCAAGAAGGTCGCCCAAATAATTAGCGTTCCACAGGCGAGCTCAGACGCAGTGCTGTAGTGGCCGCCACGAATATACCGCCACAGTCATAATATATAAGGAGGCGCAGTGCGGCTCAAAAACTAATGTTGTGTGACGTAAGAAATTTGTCTTTCGGAGCAGAGGTGTTGACTAAAGTGCAAGTAAGAGGGGAATAAAATATCCTAATATCTTGGCGCTTAGCACCATGCCAAGGTGGCGCCCACTTTCCAAGCTTCGTTTATTTCCTCGAAAAACGTTTCACAACAGAACGTATTTCGGACAATGGCTGCTGCCAATACATGGTGCGGATCTCCAAAAATCCAGTTTGCCGCCCGCTTCTCCGCTCTCTTTTATGGTTGACGGTCAATCTGGTGGCGAACAGGATTTCCACATATAGAGAAAAATATAGAAGAAGACATCTGTCCTGCCCCAGTCAAGGAGAAATAATTGATGCGATGTGCCAGTCTCCAGAATTGAAACGAACGTAGGGTGATTCTGGGCCATCGTGCCCCTGACAATCTACAGCGGGGTTGAGCAAGCCTTTCTGGTCGGCGACTTTAATCAGGCAAGTTTTTTTTTTTAAATGGGGGTGTTTTAGTTATGCAAAAATATGAGTGAGATTCACCATAGTGTGAGCCCCACTGCGGGACGCAAACTACCAGAGATAGTCAGCACAATGGCATAGTGTTTGAAAATGATCCTTAGCTCGAACAGCCGCAGTTTTTGAGATCTAATGTCACTACCAACTCTTGACTCAGGCCTCTGTTGAGCATAGAAGGTCGGAACCACTTCGATCTAGTGCAAAGTCGATTAGAATGCGAACAAGTCGACAGCCGGAATTGCAGCAACAAGAGATTATATTAAATTTTTAGTGATTTCTACGTGTACTCTGGAAAGATATGCGGCGAGCAGTGAATATGTTTCCGTGTATGCAGACAAAAGTGCGCTTGAAAGAGTGCGACGCAGCGTCTTATTCTAAATTGCATGCTAAGAAAATGTTTATGAAGGCGACATGCTGTCGCGTAAAACCATGATGCGCTCTAAACCATAGACCATGAGGAGAGTCAAGCACATTTTCCTTTGTCGAATTTGCAAGATAACAATTTGTGAGAGCAAGCATTAAGACTACACCACTCTCAGGGACTCATTTAAATTATGTACACAACGTCAGTGATGCAGTAACATAACGACATCTTGGTAAAAGGTATTTGTTAAGAACGAACAGTAGGTCTTACAAACGTTACCAAGTAATATCCCTAAAATCATCATCATCATCTCTTTATTTTTTGTCATGATAAAACACACAAATTGTGAAAAAATGTGCCTTATCAAAATACATAACGGGTGTTTCGAATATCATCAATTAAGACATAAAAAGAGCTGGTTCACGCTGCACGTGTCGAAACAGCTCAGCATTGTTCGAAGTCCTATTGAGCAAGTCGAGATATTTTCGCTATGTTCGAAATTTGCTAATTAACACGGATTAATTAGCTGACTTTTCGTACATTAATTTAAACGCAAACCATTTAATACTATAGTTATAGAGCGTGTTCACAAATAGCCCTTCGTGTCTTTTTAATAAAGGTAACCATCGTGTGTGTCATTATTTTGGGCCATAAAGAAAGGGCGCCAGATATAATATCCTTCCTCCATGACAAAGGTCACTCAATCGCAGCTTTCTATCGGGTAGTCCATGGTACGTTGCATTTACTCAGCTCAAACGTGAACTAAGTTGTACAACGACCAGACGCTTAGTTAGCGCATCTCTGCGGCACGGGCCAGTGTTATGCTTGAAGCAGCCTTGAAAAGCAAAGTAGACGTGCCAGGGGTGGAGCCTGTAGATCTGTTTCTAAAGGTACCGGAGAAGCTGTCCCATTAAATTTGAGCTCTAAAGGTGCATAAGAATCGCAGAACTACATACTTTTTAGACCATTTTAATAAGCCGTATCTACAGCACGATGCTGTGGTTCGTTCTACACAAATTCTCAGAAATAATTTGGACCTGAGTCCGTCTTTTTTACAAGAAGTACGGCTATGAATTAAGGTGGCGATGCAGGCGAGTTGGTTCATGACTTGAGAAATTGGGAACAGCGCACAAAAATGACGAGGACTACGAGAGTAGAGCACAGGACAAGCGCTCACTATCAACTGAAGTTTTATTAAAAACGGCTCAAACAAGAAAACACCACAAAGCCAACCAACGCCGCAACAACCAACGGCCGTGTCGCTCACCATGCATCTATAAAATCGATTTTTTTTTGGTAAAGATAAACCGAACGCTGGCTGACGCAGTGCCCCGAGCCAGCTTTTTCGATAGCATGCGCCTCCACACCTCTCTTTGCACTTCTGTTCGCCCCCTTCCAATGATTATGGTATCTTTGAAGACGGGGTGACACAAGCAGTCTATGCAGCGTACGTATAAGTGTCCTCCTGTCATTGACCGCAGGGAAAGGGCATGACAGGAGGACTTATGCGTACACTGCAGAGACTGCTTGTGTCACCCCGTCTTCAAAGATACCATAATCATTGGCAGGGGGCCAACAAAAGTGCAAAGAGAGGCACCGGAGGTGCATGCTGCCGAAAAAGCTGGCTCGGGGCACAGCGTCAGCCAGCCTTCGGTTTATCTTCACAAAACAGAGATCGATTTTATAGATGCATGGTGAGCGACACGGCGGTTGGTTGTTTTAGCGTTGGTTGGCTTTGTGGTGTTTTCTTGTTTGAGTTGTTTTTAATAAAACTTCAGTTGATAGTCAGCGCTTGTCTCGTGCTCTGCTCTCGTTGTCCTCGTCTTTTTTGCGCGCTGTTCCCAATTTCTCAAACACGGTATGACTATTTAGAACATCACCTTCTGCTTTCCAAAGCAGATGTGAATTATGTCAACAAAGAGTGACCAACTTCGAGGAATTTCCGCCAACGCCGAGGCAAGTGTTAAAAGTGCGAGCCGTACGGAATATGTTTAACGCTTGACCCTCCCCGCGAGGATCGGCATGTCCCTGTGACTAAGCAGGAGAGTCAGTGCTCCGTGATTATTTTGGCTGCTTTCTTCCCACTGTCTTTTACTTTGGGCCTGAAGACCCATAAAGAACGCAGCGTTTTGCTTTCCTTGCCTCGCGTATAAATTGCGCGTTACGTGGGCTGGAGGACATCGCCAAGCATCTTGACATTTTGACTTTTTTTTTTCTGATAAGCACATCTTTGCCATTTGTTGGGCGTGCTTGCGCGCTTGCCGCATGCCGAATTAAGGGGGAACACAAAAAGGTGTTGTGGAGGCTTGCAGCGACAACATCGTCTTCCCCGCACCACGCTCCCCCGAGCCGCGGAGGAGGCTGGCACGCACCGGGGATACCCGACACCAGGTCGGGGGGCCCGGATGCGGGCCAGACGGCCAGGCCTCCGTGAGGGTAGACTAAACAACTCAAGTTGTCCCCACGGGAAGAGAGAAGAGAGGAGAAGAGGGCGAACGCCTTGCGAGCAGCGCCCGGTTAGGGCGCATGAACATTTCTCGCAGTTTTAATCTCGTCATTCTTGTGTAGTCCTTCAGAAAACTAAACGTGTTCAGTAGAACATTAAATGTATCTACGGTGCTAATTCAGGCAGGCGGAAGTAGGCTACCTTGTGCAGACCCTCAATCGAGGATACCGGTGCCATTTGGAGGGGTGGCGGCTCTTAAAGGCCGCCGTACAGTTCGCGCTTTCCACTTTTTTTGCGTTTCCTCCTCTCCTGCCCTCCTTTCCTCCCTTCACCTCCCTCCGCCACCTGTTTACCGCCCTCCCCCGAGGGGCCAACACGGAGAATGGATTAGGAGACGCCTCCGTTAATCCGGCTTAACCCGCCGAAGAGTGGGCCTGCTGCTTGACTAAAAATTATTTCGCTGCTCGAAAAAGAAGAAAAAAGAAAAAAACGCCACGGGCAGCGACCGAACGCGCTTTGCCGGATGTGCAACGCTCCGTCCACTTTGAACAAGCTGGTATGCATTTAACATTTTTCGAAGCGCGGCAGGTTTAGTGTAGGTCCTATCATGTGGTCTTGCAAGACCTCCCTCTCCGCCACAAGCTAGCCAATAATTCAAGGACATAACGACGGCAGCGTATTCAAACAGTGTAAAATAAAATGTATATAATATTTACAAGAACACTATTGTCTTCACTGCTTGGCTTTCAAATTTTTAGTGCTGCAAATAATCGTAATCAGTATATTTTTATGATTGAAGACCCCTCGTCGTGCATCGAACCCAAGATTACGCTGACGTGAAACATGATTCGGCGCAAGAGCAGCTGAAGTCACCGTAAACTTTTTTTTTTTTTTTTTCAACGTGGATTCTGCTTTTTAATCTAGCTGAGGTACCACTGGCAGAACACGAATAGCATACTTTCATCTGAAAACTCATATAGCTGGTTGAGCGAATGCAATACTATCGCATTCGTTGAAGCTCGATTTGTTGATTCGAACTTCAACGAATCACACGCACCCATTTTCCCTATTCTGGTTTACCAAGTCATAGTCGTTCCCTCACGATCGAATACGAGTACAAGTAACGGCAGTTTATGCAATGTTGACGTTGCACAGCCGTGATCGCACGGTTTTTAGAAGCGCTATAGAACGAGCACAAGCGTCGAATTTTGGTACACTGATTGATTTCTGTCTCCCCGCCGTGACGCCACACGAGAAAAGCGATTTCGTTCTGTCTGTGAAATTAGGAACACAGAAATCAAGATATAATCCCGGTAATAAAACAAAGCGAAATGGACCTTTGAAGCCAACACCCAACCGTTCGCGAGGTGACTAGGCAAAAGCATATATTACCTCCGTGCCTTTACCGTCTGCACGCCGCCAGAGAGAGTCATACGAACTCATTTGCGCTATTATCAACACGATTGCGTTTGCAAGCCGGTAGTTTGACTCGGCTGGGATTCGTCCCTTCTGGCTTTCATAGCTATCTATGAAACCAGAAAGGTAGATACTTTTCTACGTTGGG